TGGGGAGTGCCTTCTCGGGGAGGGGTCTTGGACAGGTTGGAGCCGGGGTTCCAGGGCAGCTTTGAAGAATGGCCGTGCGTTCGTGTCCAAGACCGGGGCTTTCAGGTGGAGCCCTAGTCTGAGGGTAGCTGGGCTCACGGGGAGGAGCCGCCCTCCAGCGCCTGACCGCCCTCTCCGGTGCCCGTAGAGTCCTGCGCTCACGTGGTGTGCCCGCGCCCCCAGTCGTGCGTTGTGGACCAGACTGGCAGCGCGCACTGCGTGGTGTGTCGCGCCGCGCCCTGCCCGGTGCCTTCCAGCCCCGGCCAGGAACTCTGTGGCAACAACAACGTTACCTATATCTCCTCGTGTCACCTGCGCCAGGCCACCTGCTTCCTGGGCCGCTCCATTGGGGTTCGCCACCCGGGCATCTGCACAGGTGAGACTCGGGTGGCACTGGGCATAGGTTCACCAAGGGGCGGTTCATGCGCTCACTCTTGCCTGTTCCCTCCATCCCTGCAGGTGCTCCAAAAGTACCACCAGAGGAGGAAGAGAACTTCCTGTGAGCTGCAGTAGCTGGGCCGTCCTAATTTTATTTATTGTCACAGAAAAGATTCTAATTTATGTCACGTGGACATTCCCCAAACCTGGCCTGGAACCACTTGCGGATCCTCTAGGATCCAGAGCACGTATCACAAGGACTGAAGGGAGATTTTATTTTATAAGAGTTGGTATGTGCCATCACCAGGTACTGGGATCAAGTTAGGACCCCAGACACCTGCTGCCTAGGGAGGGCAGCCTCATGGAGACTTCTGCCTTGATCTCTGCCTGCTTTTCCAGACTGGAGTTGAGTGTCAGGGCACAGGCAAGGGTAGTGTGTCCTCCTCAACTGCTGTTCACACAGGGCCTCCCAACCTCAGACCAGGGGCAGTCAGGGCCAATCCAGAGAAACACTGGGTTCCTTTCCTCCCTGCTCACTCCAGTTAAGGTGGGACCCTGACTGACTGGCAGGCCCAGGGTAGCCTGTGGACACCAGCACCCCAGAGTCACCCTGTGCCTACTTCTCTGTTCTGGGGATACCAGATCAGCTTTTACCCAGTTTCCAGCCAGCCCATTCGCCACCAAGCCCTGCAACAGGTGGTAACACCAGCTAGGTGCTGTTGGGGGCATGACCCTTCACTTGGATAGCTGCTACTGAAAATCCCCCCACATGTGCCTTCAAGGAGACAAAAAAGAATGAAGAGCTGTAATTTAGTAGTTAGAATGCTTGCCCAGCATGCACCAGGCCCTGGGCTCCATCCCCAGCGCCGCATACAACAGACATGTTCGCACATGCCTATCACCCCCGCACTCCTTAGAGGCAGGAGGATCAAGAGTTCAAGGTCATCCTTGACTTGTACAGTGAGTTCAAGACAAGCCTAGGCTACATGAGACCTTACCTCTAAAAAACTTGGAAGACAAAATGTTAGACCACAAACAGAGGGCCATTTGGTGGGCAAGGAGTTTCCAGGGTCTTTTCTGTCATCCTCCCTTGAGTCCTTAGCTGTGCCTTTCTTATAATGTCCCAAAAAGTGTCCTTAACAGGCAGCCTAGGCAGCATCTCCCAGCCTGGGCTTCTGCCTCACCAAAGAAATAAAAGATGGTTAAAAAAAAAAAAAAAAACCACCATGGTGACCAGCCTCCATCTGCCTTTTCTCTCTGAGCCTGTGGACTAGGGTGGAGCATGGAACCAACCACGAAAGCTTCTGGAAACATGTGGCACATGTTCATGGGTCCCTGGGAAGCGTGGAGGCGAGGGAGAAAAGTGGGCCCTTCTGGGGTCCCAGAGGTACAGGGACAAGATGGCTCAGGAGTGAAGGTTTGAACTCAATGGAGGAATGATGACTGATGAGACAATTTATATGCTGAGGCAACCTTAGCACAGGAGGCCAGGCTAATCTGCGATTCAGTTCCAGGAACAGAGAGATACCATTTTTGTTGTTTTTGTTATTTTTATTTTGTCCTCACTGTATACATTAGTTCCCTGTCCATGTGTTAGTGGGGTTAGTCAGCAATCCATAAGGGGACAGAGCAGGTGAAAAGGGCCTGGAGCCACCTACAGTGTGGGAGTGGGTGGTCTCAGGAGGAGGGGCATAGTGGATGTGTAAGACTTGTGAAAAGCCCCGGGTGCCAGGACAGCCTCCAAAGCTACACAGAGAAACCCTGTCTCGAGAAACCAAAAAAGAAAAAAGAAAAAAAGAGTTGTGAAAGGGTCTTGGCCTAGAGGGTGAGTGTGTGGGTTAAGGGGGGCCCCTTATTAACCACACATTAAGCCACAAGCTATGTATCTTGTTAGCCAGCCTTCAGTACCACTGTTCATTCAGGATGGATGCTGCAGCCCAAGACCCAAGTTCTCAGGGTTCTCCAGCCAAGCCATGGAATATTCCAAATCTGAGCCAATGGGCACAGGTTGTCATTCATCTCTGCCCCAGTAGGGGGCTGAGATTCAAACATCCCTCACAGAGCAGAACCAGGGGAGGAACTTCTCCAAACCACATCCCACATCCAGGCCACAAACATGGACACTTGAGTGTAGACACTAGAGGCCTGAGAAGGAGACAAGGCCGTGGGCCCGGCTCCCACATACCAAGGGTCCCCCAGAGTTTGCCTAGAATGAAAAAGAAGTTGAAGTTACCTGTTGCTATGGGGCCTTGTGTCTGTCCCCAGAGGAGTTTCAGACACAGACAGGTCTGTTCTCTTTGAGCAACACAGCTGTGTGCAGCAGCCCTCTGACACACCTCCCCAAAAGCTGAGGTTTCCGGTGAGCTCTGCTCTTAGGCTCTGTTTTTGGTGTCCGAGCCACCCTAAAATCCCCAACTCACTGAAGAATCAGCTTTTAGGAGCCCAAGCTCCGAGATCACATGTGCTTCGTATATTTATATAAAGCAGCCCAGAACATGTTTGTGCAGAGCACAGCCTACAGAAATGAATGGATTCCGTGTGACTCTCAGCCACCCCTCACCTTCCTGCTCCTCATTTCTCCACTCACGCAAACACTGGTGGGACTGAGTCCTCAAAGGTACCCATGTCCAACCTGGACCCTGCTTTCCCCATACAGCAAGCCATCGTACCAAACAGAAACCACACCACCGGCGGCCCCTGCTGCAGGTGCATGCAGGACTCAGCTGGCCCTGCCAGGGCCTGTTTCAGATGCTCAGGTCCGGCACTGGTACCTGGATTGTACCTGGACTTCCATCAGCCCTGGTTGGGGCTCCTCAAAGTCAGACACAAAGCCCCAGCCGGATACACGGCAACGCTTCTTGGCCAAGGGTGGCCTGGCACCTCTCGGTGACAATCCCAATAGCTGCCCAGCAGGGCCCAGGACAGCTGAGCCATTCAGCTGAGGGAGGAGTGCTGGACTGAGTGCCTCCTGCTCCTCTCATCTGCTCCCATCTTAGTGTCCCCTCAGGGACAACAAAGTACAGACTGTGTCAACAATCAGTAGCAGCTGTGGTGCACCTACCATCAGACCTTCGCCTCCTGCCCTTCAGGTGGCTCCGTCCTGGGCCAGAGATAATGACACCCCCACCTCACCTCTCAGCTTGCCCTGCTCCTTAGCCCTCAGTAACTCCCAGTCTCCTCGGGGTGATGGATCCTGGTCTACCATTCCAAGCCCTCTGAGGGCTCCCCAGCGGGTTAACTTCCCATTCCGCCTCATCCTTCAGGAACCTCCCACAGTGCACCAGTTTGTTAAACTGCCATCCTGTCATCTGTGAGGCTGCCTGAGGCCTCTGCAAGGTCTCCTGCCACTCAGCTGAAGGGTGAGGTCATAATGACCAGGCCTCTGGGAAAGGATGAGTCCACCTAGATTCATCTTTGCCTCAGTTTCCCCATTGGTCAGTCTCAATGTCTCTATTATTCCCAGCTGCAGTGTCTCCACCTGTACTAGATGTGACTCCCGGGAGACTCACACCCGGACTCTGGCAGTAGAAACCGTCATTGCTTCCTTTTTGTCCTAAGAAACTGCTGTGCCCTGAAGTCCACAGTACATGGGGAGCTTGCCAGAGTGACTGTAGGCCAGCTTCAAGATACTCCCTTGAGAAATAACCTCGTGGCTCTTGGCTTTGATTTTTATTCTGACAGAGGTGGGAGTCATGGAGGGTTCTGGGTAGTGGAGGAATATGACAGGTTGCAGGAGCCCAAGGTCCTGCCAGCCATTTTCAAACAGAATTCCAGGACCCCAGGCATGAACCAGTGGCAGGCAGAGCCCTTTCCCAGCACGCAAAAAAAAAAAAAAAAGGGTTCAGGCTAGGTGTGATGGTGTACCCCTTTAACCCCAGCACTGAAGAGGTGGAAGCAGGCAGATCTCTGTGTTCCAGGCCAGTCTGGTCTATATAGTGAGTTCCAGTACCGCTAGAGCTGCACAGAGAAACCCTGCCTTGAAAAGAAAAGAGGTCATTCCCAACCCCACAAGAAAATAAGAAAATTAAGCTGGGCGTTGGTGGCGTACGCCTTTAATCCCAGCACTCAGGAGACAAAGGCAGGTGGATCTCTGTGAGTTCAAGGCCAGCCTGGTCTACAGCGTGAGTGCCAGGACAGGCTCCAAAGCTATACAGAGAAACCCTGTCTCGAAAAACAAAACAAAACAAACCCCCACACACAAAAATAAGAGACTTGGAAAAATGGTCCATCATAAAACCCGTGGCTTGTTTGGGGACTCAGGTTCGATTCTCAATACCTGCAATGGTTTCTCACAACCATCTGTAACTCCAGTTCCAGGGGATCTGGCCTCCTCTCCTGGCCTCCTTGGGGACTGCATGCATGAGACACAGGGCAAAACATACATGTAAAAATAAAAACAAAGAAGAAAGAATAAGGGAGCCCAGAGCCATAACCCTATACCTGAGGTGGCTGAGATCTATACTGGAAACCTCATGCTGCAACCCACAGCCACCATTTTTGGTTCAGCAGTTAGACTAGATGTGGGTCCTATTTGGGAGCCTGTAGTCACCCGAGGTCACCTTGGGTAGGGCTTAATGACAGTTTGAAGTTCTCACCAGGGGGGATGAGCTGGATCAGGACAGCTGCCACTTCCAACAGCAGGCAGCCCCGGCATCAGTCCTGGGTACCATGGCTGCTGGAGGATAGCGTCCCCCTGATAAGGTCTGCAGGTGCAAGAGGCACACTCACAACGGTCCAGCCACAAAGTAGGAACAGGGATGTGGTCTGTGGTCAGGAGGTGGAACAGGCATTTCTGCTCCAGGGAAGGCAATTCAACTGTTTTTTGTTCCGAAGATGGCTGCTCATGAAAGCTCAGAAAAATCATTTTATAAGCTCAGATTTGCCCAACACCTTCCTACTAATTCATCTGGCCCCGGCCAGGCTGAATACATGTCATTTGTGATTGCTCCTCAGACCATCTCAGGGGACACAGTCACCCTGGAAGCGCCAAACCTGCCTACTCCTCTGTCAATTGCCAGGTAGCTCTATGCAAGCACCTTGACCCTTGACCTCAGCTTTCCATCATGAATCTCAGGTCTGTAAGGAATTCAGGAAGGCTAATTCTTTGGAGAGATCTAGATTTGACTGACTTTACTGCATTTATTGAGCTCCTACTTTGTACCAGACTTTGTTGGAAGAACTGGGAATATAGCAGAGAGTAACCCTGAGGTCTGGGGTCCGGAGACCACCTATAGGATATGTGCTAGGCCTGGCTTTCTTCACAGGGGAGGCCTTTGGAAAAGAATATTTAGATAAGCGCTCATGTACACCTTCCTGGCCTCAAATTCTATATGGAACCAATATGACCCTCTGCCCTCTGCCTTCCAAGTGCTGGATGGGATAGCAGGTGTAGGAACTTCAGCCTCCCTAGGTTGTGGGTTGGAGTCTAGAGCACAAACTGGCTGGCTTTGCACTGGTCCATGTTTGGTGGCCAATATCCTAGCTTCAGCTTAGCTGAACATAGCAAGCTGGTTCCCAGTTGGCCTATAAGACCTATTCCAAGTCTGATGCAGATGTTGGGGACTTAAGAGGAAGAAGGGGACAGATTGACCTGGATGAACTCAGGGCACACAATGGTGCTCAGGCAGCCAGGTCCCCATGCAGCTCAGGGAGGCAGAAGGGCACAGGGTCAGCAAGGCCACCGTACAGGGAAAGGAACTGTTGTCTTGGCTACCTCTCCTCCAAGAGGCTTATCTCAACCACTGTGAGGATAAAGACGGAGATCTGCACCTTTGAAGGAGCGTCAGGAACAGTGTGCTGGAATCCAGGGGACTCGGAGGGTGAACACATCAGACAACAGAGCATGGGGGAGGGGGTGAAGGGAGAGGTCCCAGACAGAGAAGAGGAGAGACACAAACAGAGATGACAGACAGACAGATACACACACGTGCACGCATACACGCGCACACACACACACACACACACACACACGCAGGCACACACACACACACGCATACATACACCCACACACACACACGCATACACGCACACACACACACACTCATACACGCACACACACACACACTCATACACGCACACACACACACACTCATACACGCACACACACACACACTCATACACGCACACACACACACACTCATACACGCACACACACACACACTCATACACGCACACACACACACACTCATACACGCACACACACACACACTCATACACGCACA